GTTTGAATTGATTGTTATTTTTGTGTAGAGTTTTACTAATGATTTGTTGGTTTTGTGTGAAATTTTAGGCGAAAAGAGTCCGAAGAGAAGAGAATAAGCGCCGGAAACAAGAAAACGCCCGCAAAGCCGAGATAACTCAGCCGGTAATACAACGACTCATTGCTTGTTATTTGACTTGAAAGTGATTTTTGTTCTGTTGATCTGTTTTTCAGATTAAAAATCCAAAGAAATTGAAGCGAATCGCGAAGAAACAGATGAAACAAATGAGAAAAGTCCGCAAGAATTGAGCCGAAGGTTCGTTAGTCACTACCTGTTCGTCGGACTCAGACTTGAATTGAATTTAATTATCACTGAATATATAGTTAGAGCCAAAAGATGTTTTATATTTTGTATGACTTATCGATTCATTTTTCGCATCAATAAAATTCATTGAAATTAAGTTTTTTATCAAACTTTTTATTACAAACCAAAGGCTATGAAGTGAACTAAAGTAAACCAAAGGTTATGAAAAATTACAAAGTGTTTAAATAGGTAACCGGTAAAAGTATATTACAAATAATTAAATCTCTTAATTACATACAAATACGGTAAATACATTCACAAAAAAGGTAATCATTTCATAAAAATCAAAATACAATTAAACTACGAGTTTATCAAAAGTCTCGGTGCCTGAGGAACGGTAGCGAGAATTGGGTGTCGATGTCGACGCCCTCGAAAGTTTTGGTGAAGTCGGCAAACGAGATCTTCTTATCGCCGTCGAAGTCCATCTCATCGATCATTTTGTCGGCGTTTTGGCTGATCTTCTTTTTGTCGGTCTTCGGCAAGATTTTGCTCAGAATTTCTTCCAACTCCTCGCTGTCTATATTGGCGTCACCTTTGGTGTCGTAGATCTTGAAGAGGAACCGCATCTTCTCCTCGCGCTTCTCATCCCTCATCTTCTTGTCATCGGAGGCACCCGAAGTGCCCCTAAACTTAGCCATAATCGACACAAACTCTTTGCGTGTCATAGCGTTCGTGGACTCGGCGTAACTGATGAACACCGCAACTATCCGGCCGGCCAATGGGTTGACCTTTAGCTCCGGGATCAACTCCAGCGTCTCCTTCGTCAGCACCCGGGGCTCGTCGTCTTTGCTGCTGCGGTTCTCATCGGCTTTCAAGCTCTTGGGCTTCGGTCTCAACCGCAGCAACTCCTCGAAGCGCTCGTACAGCTGATCCAC